TCCTGAGAGCGACCCATTCTTTCACAAATGTTTGTAAAAACAGTCTGCATGCCTAGGTGCTTGAATTTATACACCTGTGGCCATGGAAGTGATTGGAACACCTGATTCCAATAATTTGGATGGGTGAGCAAATACTTTTGGCAATATAGTGTAGGTGTATATGAAGGACCCATATTGGTGCCATAAAGTTGGAAATTACAATTAAAGTTGTATCCGTTTTTATTTATATATATATATATATATAGCCAAATTATTAAAATTCTTGTAGTATTAAAGGTTTTTTTTATTTGTGGATTTTGAGAAAGATTCATGATTGTTTAAGGCGTTGTGATGATTTTTTTTGTCCTGGTGTCTAATTCTTCTTCAACTTGTCCTACAGGAGACCTTGAAGCTTTCAAGATGCAGGCCTTCGTGCTAAAGGAGGGAGTAGAATACAAAATAAAAATCAGCTTTAAGGTAAGAAACTAAGAGCCTTTTAAAGAGGCTGAATACAGTTAGCCATAGCAGAGTAATACCTGAAACACAGGCTTTGTCAGATTTTCTAAGCTTGTTACCATTAGGGGTGTGGGAAATAATCGTTTTGGCGATATATCGTGATATTCGGCTGCCCAATATAATATCGATCTTTCAATTCTTAGTATCGATTTAAAAAAAAAAAACAATGGTTACATAAAACATTGATGGGAAAATGGGGCTACCTCTGCACCACCACTCTGGCAGAAAGCGCTGTGGAGCCCTTTAACGTTGTGTGCAGCACCAAATCTGTATTTGAGGCAGTCACAGTGGAAGAAAACCCCAAACAACATGGATAATAATACCTAATCAATATTTTTTGATGAAAATATACAGCACTTGCTGTTTTATCTCATCATTTGATTTTGATAGCTGGGGAAAATATGGCAATATATAGTGATACTGCAATATCGTGATAATATCGTATCGTGACCCAAGTATCGCGACATGTATCGAATCGCAATACTCATGCCAATACTCACCTCTAGTTACCATGGTGACATCCCAGAGAGTAGAGCTTTGTGGAGAAATGTTCACAAATTGGATCCAGTGAAAAAGAAAATGTCCCAAAAAAATCATTGATCCCCTGCAGCTCATTTTAGCCGCTGGGTAATAGAGTAGATTAGCTTTGTTAAAAAGACGACCAATCATTTTATAACTTATTCAACCATTCACATAGCTTCAGTGAATATCACTGAAAACATGATTAAAATATGCATGTAATGGTGTAGATATTCCACCTTCTGTCTGCCAATATCTATGTTTGTGCCCTCAGGTGAACAAGGAGATCGTTTCAGGACTGAAGTACGTGCAGCAGACGTTCAGGAAAGGAATGAAAAGTGAGTCAGCGTCCTCTCCTGGTGTTTTTTTTTTTTGGAAAGTGACTGTCCACTTGTGACACAGAGACGCCACAGTGCTGTCTCTGAAGCTCAGCAGCGACTGACCCTGTTGGTAAAACTAAAAATGGTTTTAACAGCTAGATGTTAAATCAAAATGCCAAAAATGTTAATATTTAGTGTTAGTTTCTTTAAAATCCATTGCTGCCTCCCCCTCATTGTATCAAAGATTTAGGATTTGATGCCTAAAAATTGGACAATTTCTTTTGTCTTTCGTTCTATTTTTCCATATTGGGACCTACTATGACCAAATGAAACCAAAACTGTTATCTTTAGAAAATCAGACTTCTTTATGCTTTTGGAGGTGATTTTCTTCTGACACGGGTTTGATTTAAGAAAAACAAAAACAAAACCTGTATGATGTAATACCAAGAGCTGATTCCTTCTGTTTGTCTCACACGCTGTAACAGAAATTAATGTAAAATCTGTGAAGGGAGCCTGTTTAAAGCATCTTTATTTTCTCCCCTGTACAGTTGATAAATCGGACTACATGGTGGGCAGCTACGGGCCCCGCCCCACTGAATATGACTTCCTGACCACGATCGAGGAGGCTCCTAAAGGCATGCTGGCCCGTGGGAACTACGTCATCAAATCTAAGTTTACCGACGATGACAAGCACGACCACCTGTCCTGGGAGTGGAACCTCAACATCAAGAAAGACTGGAACGATTGAAAAGGGGCCTTTATGTTAAGGGGAGAGTAGGATGGGTAGGGGGCTGTGATCCCTCCAGCGCACCCCCCTCCCTCCCACTCTCTTCCTCTCCTCCTCCCATCCTCACCCCATGTCCACCATTTCTGCCTTTGTTTTTACTTTGCATTTCATGCTCTCATGCCTTGGTTCTGGCCTGACTGAACCCTGCCGTCTTTCCTCCGTCCATTTTCACCAATCCCCGCACGACGTCTCATTGGTTGCACACGACTCTGTAGCACCAGGCTCCCCCCCTCACACCCAGCTCTGGTCCTCCTGGTTTTAGCTGCTTGAAGAGATTAACCCCTCCCCCTGCCTTCACCCCACTCCCAGAATGGTGTCTTCCTCTTTCAGTATGAAGTACATGTGGACAAGCAACTGTACAATCAACTTTCGTTTGCCTTTTTATTTATATATATATCTACTTGTATCAATGGTTGTGTAATGTGACTGTATTCACATGTTAATCAGCTGTTGTGTTCATAGCTAACCCCACCTCATCCACCCCCACCCTGCCCTCCTTGGCAGTAGCATTCCTTTGTTTGGTGTCTTTTGATACAAGAACCAATACCTGCCTTGTACCAACAGTTCGATGGGAGCTGCTCTGTAGCGCCTTCACTAAATGTATTCTTACCCCTCCCCCTCCTGTACCCAGGAGGTTGGGGCCAAAGTCGACAAAAGAAGTGTGAAGTATAAAAGTAGCTGCCTTATGTCTAAACTTATCAACGTGTCTTCAGTGTACGAGCAGCAATCCGCCATCAGCTGTTCTGTTTCACTTCCATCTGTAGCCCTGCTGTAGTTAAACAGGTTTCTGATTTGCAGCTCTGCACAAAGCTCCCCCCCACCAATCTAAATAAGTGGGTGAATGTTCCCACGAACTGTGGGGGGGATAAAATGGCAAAACAATAATCCAGTATGGGTTCTCTTGCTCCACCCAGCTACGAGGCCTTAGTACCAATCTACAGTCGTGTGGAGGAAAACCAACATTAGAAATGTTTATTTTTTAACCGTTGTTCCCTATAGCCTTATTGTTCACCATTCACACTACATCGCCCATGCAGATTGTTAAGAGGAGGTATAGAGGAGGCTGAGCCAGCCACCGCCTGCTGCTGCCGCCGCCACCGGAGACCTTGGCGGTGTCTGGTCTCAGCCTGTTGACTGACGGGGCCTTGAGCCTTTTTTCTAAATGAGCGACCCACCCACCCACCAGATCAGGTGACACTAAACTAACCAATAATGTTGGAAGAAATTAAATCAAGTCGTACTGTACCAGAACATCTGGATGTAAAAACACTTTCTTCTCATCGCTATGTATTCCTGCACCATACATTCCCTCACATTGTACAGTTTCTATGAAAACACTGGCATGCTGGTGGGGTTGTATATTATATCATTTGTGGTTGCTCTTATCGGTCATTAAAGATTTTGCTCAACTTGGCCTCTGATGTGTCTTGGATGAAGTAATGTTACAGCTTTAGACTTTCAGTACTTTTAAGATTTTCATCTAGTTGGCATATAGCTTTAAAATTAGTTTTGCAGAGCTGATCATTGGTGTGATTATTTCAGTAACCAAACCCCTGGAGAAGTTAAGTGGTTTTCTTAAAGTTGATCTTAAGCATTGTTTTTTGTAAGAAACTCTAACTTACCAGCTCATTTATTATAAACTACTGTCCACTATGTCCTACGAACATAAGCAGACTTAGTTAACTAAGATCCTATTCCTTTACTTTTTCAGACTACTAACTATTGCTACTAATTATGAAAAGTATTTCCCAAGCATTGGGGGTTGAGATGAAACAAAAAATAAAATGGTTGAAACACAAGGATGTAGTGGAGAGACTAAAATGAACGAGTAAGGCTGTAATTCCTTTTTTATTATAATCCAGACCTATAAAATAGTGAAAACAAATTTCATTCTTTTCTGGACCACATAGTATCACATGGAATTTAAATTGGAACTTAAGCTTTTAGTCGGAAAAAACTTCAGATGTGTTTTGTGTGAATTGAATTAAATGATACTGTAAAGTACAGTGGGGAAGTTGTAATGCTGAGGGCCTGCTTCTTGTCCAAAAGTCCTGGAGCAAAATTATAAAACACCGCATCAGGAAATCTTCAATACAAAGTGCTTTTAAATTAAGATAAAATGGTTCTTAAATGTATTCCTTTTTATAAAGCATTATGTTGCTTCACAACGGGTAAGCAAAATCAAAATTAGACTTGAGAAACAATCACATCTGCCCATCAAACCTGTAGAGCAGGCATTCCCAACCTCGGTCCTGAGGCCCACTGTCTGCAGGTTTTAGAGGTTTCCCTGCTTTAGCACAGCTGATTATGATTACAGTAGACCAAAAGCCTGTTAATCAGCTTTCAATTAAAATCAGCTGTGCTGGAACAAGGAAACCTTTAAAAGCTGCAGGACAGCGGGCCTCGAGGACCGAGGTTGAGGATGCCTGTTGTAGAGGTCTGATTTTCTGTACAAAATCTGGGATATTAGAAAGCCAGGACTCTGTCACTTTAAACAAAATAGGCTTAAAGTTGTAATTATGAGGATAATTCAATTGAATTGTCAGAGATTTGGAAACATTACAGCTGAAAATATCCTCAGAACATGCAGATGTGTGACATGTACTGGAAAACGAACATACATGCGTCTCTCTAGGAAATACACCTTTAGAGGCTGTGTCCTGTTGTTACTCAAAGCATTAAATAAGAAAAACTCAAGGAAAACAAGTTTTAGGCACATGGATCAACTCCACCTTTTCAGTTTGTTTGATAATGGGAACACATCAACGCCATTTTCTGGATTTTGTTAGTAATAAACATCAATACCAACATTAGTTTGCAGTAAAGGATTTGCTGTAATATTTTCTGTTACAAGTCAAAAAGAAGCGACAGAGCCTTAGTTGTTTATACCCACGTATTTTATACTCGACCTTGTACAATGCCAAATCAAAATAGAAATATTACTTACAAATGTATATCCAAAGGCACAGCTTCAAAATACAACTTGACATGCATTTCTGTCTCACAGGTAGGTAAACATTCAAAGGATGACCCATCTGGCCTGTCTGTTAAACTACAGCTGTCCGTCACAGGGTGAATACAAAGAAGAGTCCAGTCATTATGGCAAACAAAAACAAACAGTACAGAGATCAGATTCTCCTCAACCTCCAGAAAGGGATCTGTGCTGTAACATTATTCAAAGTTTCTAAACCTGATCGTCACCTCTCCGTTAGCACCCAAACACTCAGTCTGTAACGCAGCAGTATTTCAGGTACTGCCTTTACATCAATGCACCCCCGCAGGCGGCTGCAATATTAACGCATGAAATGAACGTTGAGATGAGCAGGGAAAGGTGAGCATGCAGAGTTTTGGTCCACTGGTACAGCAGCCAACTAAAAAAAACAGTAAATGCTGAACAAAAAGACTCATCCTGAGAAACAATACTGCCCACTTTTTTTTTTTAACCTAAATTTGTGCAAAACTGGAACTTTTCCCCCCTCCCCTCCCCCCTTCTTTTGGCACATTTAAGTCTTGTGTGCGACAAACCCTTTATTGTGAGCTATCGCCTTGCATGGCTTTAAGTCTCCAAAATACAGATTTTATACAAAGGATCGCTGAAGCAAAGCACAATAAAACATGGCAGGTAAAAAAATACAATAAAAAGCTAATATAAAACTGGATGTGAACTTCCCGTTGGTCCACAGGTGGTGCAGTTTGGCTTGATAAACAGTAGATCTGCAAAAACATCCAAGGCCCAACAAATGGCGCGCCGCGAACCAGACATCTGTGGTTCCACGCTGCCTCTCCCATAGTGGTTTTTCTCCTCAGTTTGGGCAAAACATTGGTTGTGTAATACTTTCTGTCTGTATGATGATTGTGGTTCATCTGGAGAGTTTACTGATGACCCGAATGAGGGCGGCGTTCTCATCTTTAAGCCTCTGGTTGTCTGCTCTGAGGTCTCCCAGAACCTAAACACACACATGGAAAAACGCTGCTACAGAATCATTTGGGTCTATTGAATATAGAATGACAGCAATTTGGTTGTGTCTCCTACATGTAATTATTCAACCAAAATGCAGGCCTGTGGTTAATATTTAAAGCATCAAGTTCAGCCAGAAATTATTCACGGCAACATTTTCATTCAACTGGGAAGTTTGATCCAATAGAAAAGAAGTCAAAACTATTAAAAATAGAATTAAATACCAAAAAGGAAATTTTATAAATAAGATTTTTTTCTATTAGCATTTTTTATTAAGTGTTAAACTGATTTATATTTCATCTTTTTGCTTTAGTTCAGGGTGTTGTTAATCATGTATGAACTCCAAATCCAGGTTTGAAGGCCTTGTTGCCATCAACCTCATCTCTAGCTGTCCAACAGGATCCAATCAGGTCTATATTTTTTAAAAATGTGGATAAAGTTTCAGGTTACAGCTGCTCAACCAAAGACTCACCACTGTAAAACACTGAGCTGACCTTTTAAAGGCTTCCTTATCATATTTGAATCATTAAAACATTGATAAGTGCATCCATCTGCTAAATATTGTTGCTGTATTTATAACACCCATTCCTCCTGGTCGTTCCAGTGTCAGTTAGGAAAAAATATACATTTGCTGCTTGTATAAATAATGACCTGAATCTCCAAAACCCACTTAGATTTAAGGATTCATCAGCTTCACTTAGATCAACATTTATGTAGATCAGAAATAGAGTGTATAAGATTTTTTTATAGTGCATTTTAGTTTGAGTAGTTATCTCTGCTTTTCTTTCAGTTAAATGTTTTTATTTCACCTTACGTACAAGACTTTTGATGCTCATAATGACAGAGAGGGACATTCCTGTTTAGAGCATAAATACTTTAAACCTTAATCCGACCAGTGAAAGAATGACTCTTTTGCATATCAGGAAAAGATACAATGATAACTAAGATGATAGTGGTTACTATTCCTCTGCCCATATACCAAAACCAGCTTTGAATTTTAGAATCCCAGCCACAAAAAATCTCTGACACTCTCTTTTCTAAGTTATAAATATATAATAAACAAATTGTTGTTTATAACACTTTTATGCAACCATAGTCACTGTGGACCTCAGTCTTGTTTAGTTTTAAGGTGTAAAACATTTTCTCGTTTGAAATGGTCTAAATTTGTTTTAAACTGGTTCTCGATTGACTTGCCTCATTAAAAAGTTAGAATATAAAAAGTATGCAAAACTAAAACAATTGCTTTTGGAAATTGGTTATAAGGCCCAATAATCTTTGGATTAGTGTTGGTTGTTTTGTGTTCTATATAAAGTAGCTTTACTATATATATATATACATGAAAGGCATGGATTAAGCTTTAAAGCCGGGTACCAACCAGGAAATGTTTGGTTTTTTATGAACTATGGGCAGAATTATGCCAAAACCTCACAGATTCAACAAAAAGAAAGTCTTTCTCAGCAGGTTATTAAGTGACGTATCTAGACGAATGAGACCTGTATGCCTATATTAAAGCCTGTTTGAATAATTTTGACTTTCTATAGAAACAAGGAAAATCCACATTATACCTATTAAAAAAAAAAAAAAAAACGAAAGCCCAAAGTTTAACTCTTCTATGGCCTAAATGTTAACCTCTACCCAAAGAGGGGAGAACGTTTAACCTCAAAACTGTAGATTTTAGTTATTTAAAGCAAAATCATATAAATGCATCCTGACTTCCAGCAACTCAGGTGTTTAAGTTTACTGAGCAGCATGAAATGAACACATCTGTTATCAATGTTCACCTCCAAGCTATAATATCTGCATACTTGTACCTTCAGCTCATCCTCCAGTTCCACCGCTTTCCTCTGGAGGGCAAGCTTTTCCTGTGAATCAAATATAGAAAAGATCAGGAAACAAACTGAGGCTACCTGCTGCAGCAAAATGTTCCAGCTTCTGCTGTGAAACTGCAAGTTGAGGCAACGACCAGTTAAACCCGTGGGCTTCATGCACCGCTCAAACTGCAGAGCTGTTAATGTACACGCATTCTCTGCACTACATCAGTATTTTATCACACCTTACAAAGCAGAGTGTGCATGCAATGACAGAAGCTTCTGCAGCTTAAAGGCTAAAGGACAGGATATGGAAGCTTAGCTTTGCTTTAGGTGTTTAAAATAAACCTCTGAAGTAGACTTACAAATCTCTCTAGCTCAAGCAGTGCCGGTCTGTCAGTTCCGCCCTCCTGACTCTGAAACAAAGAGAGCGTTCCTGTTCACTAAATAAAGTGCATTTTTCATAGCAGCTCATTAAAAACCTAAAGGTTTCTGAATTAAATATGCTGATATGTAACAACACAAAAAACAGATGGAAGCAGCAAACCTGTCGCAGTCTCTCCAGCTCCTCTTTGTTTTGGCTCAGCTGCAGCTCCATCTCTTGTAGCTTGTCTTTCAGAGACATGTTCTCCTGCAGTACCTTGATGTACAGCTGAGAGGAAACACAGAAATATGACTTTAAAAGAAATTATCACAGGAAGAGGCACAACAAGCAGAAATTGTTTGAGATACTTTAATAACTCAGAAATTTGGCAGTCAGATATGTTCACTCTAGACCCTCAGGACTGTTTCTCAAAAGAGTTTCACGTACCGTTCTGTAGTCTGACGAATCTCTCCCACTGCAGAAAACAAAAATAGACTCATTAACAAGAAATATTAAGCCTTCCTCTACAATAACAACATACTCAGCCCTAGTCATTAGTCAAACAAAATTTTTCCTAAAATATATTGCATCTGGTCAAACTTTCCCATTTTATTTTCAGGTTTTCTAAAGACCGTAGGTTTTTTTTTTTTCCTGGTTCTCGGATGGCTATTTTTTCAGTTCTGTGAACCACTGGAGGATTGTGCAAGGATTAATGGATCTGCACTATAATGGATTATATCCCACTCTAAAATACCAGTCCATCACCTTAAAGGAGCATTCACAACTAACGGCAACAACTCAAATGTTTTGCAATAACCGTCTCCCATTGGTTGCTTGAAATTCGCCTCTCGCTCCGACGCTATTCACTTAATTTGCACTTAAAATGCATCCCTTACCTTACAGATTGTTAAATCCCTCCTTATTGCTTCTGTAAGCAGGCTGAGTTTGACTGGTTTGCTCATCATAATCTCATTGTGGAGTCCCCCATAGCTCCACTTCTGGTCCCCCTAAACATGCTCCCATTCTGTTCTTCTTTTTCTGAGCCGAGCTTATAAACTTTTATGTATTTTTAAGACCCTCACCCCATCTGAATCAGACTGTTTTGAAATAAATATATGTAAGATTTCTAAAAGTACCCTCCTCTACAGCAGGCATCCCCAACCTCAGTCCTCGAGGGCCCCCTGTCCTGCAGGTTTTAGAGGTTTCCCTGCTTTAGCACAGCTGATTATAATGATTGCAGTAGACCAAAAGCCTGTTAATCAGCTTTCAATTAAAATCAGCTGTGCTGGAGCAAGGAAACCTCTAAAACCTGCAGGACAGCGGGCCTCGAGGACTGAGGTTGAGGATGCCTGCTCTACAGACCTCACAGTAACCCCCAGATTCCACATACTCCGTCAGCGCTCCGCTCCGCCCCGCTGACGTACGTCGTGCGGAGCGCTTGTCTTTCATGGAAATCAATGAGAGCTGTTCCACATCCACCGCTACTCCTCCGCACGTCTCCGTCCACGTACGTCTTCCCCGTCCGTGACCGACAAATTACGGAGCCGAGCTATTTTTTGCTCCGCTCCGGTCCGGCCAGGTCAAGATCCGCAATTGCAATCGCACCAAACAGGAAAAAGAACATCGACAAATTCCGGTTCGTCAAATTAAAATATAGCAGCAACAGATCGGTGACTAGAAATTATAGCACAATTCTTATATATAAAAAAAAACTAACACCGTTTATTTAAAAGATTGGATCCAAACTATTGGTTATTCACCAACCAGGAAGCAGATTTCTCATCTCCATCAAAATATTTATTTTATACAGCGGGACTTAAAGTTTAATCAAATCCATTAAAAAAAAACTTCTTATTACAGGAATGAAAATAGATGCTGAGTTTGGGAGCAGAGAACAAGTTCATTAAAAAAAAAGCAGTTTTGAATTATCCTTATCCCCGTTACAAAAATCTACAAAAATATATAGGCTATATATATTTGGGCAGAAACTGAACATATGCTGGATGATGGTGGGATTTTTTTAATATGTCATATTAAATTAAGCGCTCACAGGGTTCAAACAGGAATGAGTGACTCTAATTTAATGCTATTTTAATGCTATTAGAAATGATTTTAATGCCATCAACAAGAACCATGTACACAAGTTATTAGTGTACATGAAATATGAAGGAGCTGTAAGCAGAGTTCCATGACTCCTGTATGTATGTAAACACACACACACACATATATACGTATATATATATCCTCTAGCTTTTTCTCCGCCTGGAGCTTCCTTTCCGAACATACGGCTTTATGATCAGTTCCACGCAAATTAATAGCGATATAATACATCGGACGAAATTGTTTTTATAAGCATTTTTTATTAAAGAATTATAAATACTTCGATAAACATATTTAAATAATTTTTGTGCCAATTAAGGCCTTGATTTAAAGAAAAAATGAATGAATTGTAATTATTTTTAATGATCCGCGGAAACCCTGGTTCATCTCGCGCATGCTGTCTACGATCTCCAAGGAACTCAGAGCGGAGCGGAGGGGACCACAGCGGCGGCTGTAGGCTTTGCTTTGTGCAGGCGGTCTGGAGCGCAGCGGAGCGCTGACTGAGTATGTGGGATTTCGGGGTAAGAGCTTGACAAAACAGACAAGCAAAAACCTTTTGTCCCAATTAACAAATCCAATAACATTTTATGTTAACTAATTCATGTCATATTAAAATCTGCTGATAAGATTCAAACATCAAACTCACTCATTGCTGTATGTGTCTTCTGGCTGGGATTCACCATCATCATTCTGAAAAACACATTCAGGGATTAAACTTAACACTAAAACTTAAACATGTAAGTGCTAGACATTATTTCCATCACATTCCTGCAATCTACAGACTGAAGCATCATACAAACACATGGAGGTACATCAGGTATAAGAGATACTGAAAGGCCAGATGATGCCAAGTACCAAATCATCATTAGCTCATTAATGAACAGAAACCTCCTTTGTGTAATTCAAAGACAATTAAAGGAGAAAAGGCATAATTGAGACCCAAGGTGCACAGCAAAGAGATCAGGGAGGACATCTGGGAGAAGTTTAAAACAATGCTATGTTACATAATAGCTAACCCATAGTAGCTCTGCAGGAGCTGCACAGTTCAGAGAAGACAACCTGTCCACAGGACAGTCATTATTGGCGTCTGTAAAACTGTATTTGTTTACAGGGTATGGTATGAGCCCTCCTGAATCTCCTTTTAATAGAATAACTGACGACACTTGTGCAAAAATAATCTTGTAACTTCCTCTGTGAGAAGTTCCTGTTTCTGTTTAACAATTCACTTCACACGTTCAGAAAGAAGATGTTAAACAGGAAATGGTTGATCATGCTGTCTTTTCCTTTCATCGCACCCTTTGATCTATTGAGTGAAAACCAGCTGCTGTCCATCGAGCGTTTTACCTCTGAGCCCGGCTGAACGATGCCAGTGGAGCGTCTCTCCCTCCTCCCTCTCCTCTTCGGAGCCAAACGCTTGTCGCCCTCCGACTCCAGCTGCTTCACTGCATCATTTTCTGAAACAAAGATGAGATGGACAAAATGATTACGAAACGGTCCAGAAACTTTTGGTTTGATGCAATATGACTTAACGCCTCAGAGCTGCTGCTTTTTAAAAACAGAACTTAGATGAGAAATGGTCAGAATGAGTGTGAAGATTTAAGAGTGTGTGGTAAAGGAAGTGGTTGGTTAACCTCCATCTCATGTAACTACAATGTTAAGGATCCTTTTTTGAGCCACACCTTTTCTTATCTTTTTAAGTAGCCTTAACATATATTCCCTTTTTTTGAAAGGCTCTTCTTAGGTTTTAGCAGTTTGTTTTCCACCTTTAATTATCAAGTACGGTTCTAAACAACCTAAACCAAGGAAAACCCTAAAAAACAAAGAACTGGACATTAGTTTCCATCACATATCAGTTCCCCTGCACATCAAAGTCACAAGAACAAGGGTGGAGATGTTTGAGGGTGATGAAATCATGATGGCAAAAAAAAAAAAAAACATGATCTGTAAAATGCAAATAAGAAGAGGCAGGCCACCTCGAGGTACGCCAAGCAGCCCGCAGAAGCAGCAGCCCTCAGTAGGTGAGAAAACCGCCCTTTTAAATAAGTATGCTTAAGCGAGCTCCACCTGCAGCTAGCATTCATTCAGTAGATGGGTCCTTATAGGAAACAGAAATAGGCAACTTTGCAGGAAACAACAAGCAGTAAGGCTGAAAACCAATTAAAGTGTGCTTAAACATTTATCTAAGAAAGGTGTTACAACTTTAAGTTCTTAATAATGATTTTTTTGCTATCAACTCTAATTAAAACATTTTATAAAATTGTTTCATAATACAACAAGCGATTATATTATATTATATTATATACTCCTGAGGTACAAAGAGGGATTTTCAGGTGCCTGTATTATCATGAATCAGATCTAATTATGAATAAATAAACTATGTGTGGTAGAAAACGTATTCCAAATGTCTCCTTAAAATGGACGCAGCTCCTTAAAATATTAGCACGCTAGGCTTCAGCAGGGTAGGAAATTTAATCTATTTAACTTACCTTTGGGTTTAATAAAGTATTTCTGAATTGAATGGAAAGTTATGGACACTCCATCCTCTCTAACCATTAATAAGTAAAGTATAAAGTTAGGAGGCTCTAAAATTATGCTTTTAGTAAATGAGAAAAGGCTAAACTTATCAGCAGCGAAATAGTTTACAAAAACCATTAGAGGATTCTTCTGATCAGTGCATTTCAACTTATTTTTCAACTTTATCCAAATAATTATCCACAATAAGTATATTGTTAATCTGAATATTCATAGCCACTGATGGTTCAAAAAGTACGAATAAATTAGAGATAAAACTGAAAAGAAGAAAGGGGGAAAACAGTCAAATTCCTTATTTTTGGGCACAAACCTGCTCTATAACGTTAGTTCTGATTATAAATCAGCATAGACTGTTATAAAAAAGAAACATCCTAACTACAGGCAGGCAGTATAAATGTAGGCATAGCTGTAACCTTCAATGGAAAAACTATTTCACAGCAGCAGCAGTACAGCTGAGAGCTTTCCAGTTATTATTTACCCCGTTCAGTGGGAGTAACAGTGATGATGGGGCTCACTGACTGGACGCTTTTAGGAGGAGGAGGAGGAATTTTCTCTGCTTCTTTCAGCTCCGTCAAAGTCACACCCTGTCAACAACAACAACAAAAACAACAACCGTTAGTGGGCTTTTGGCTGCATACTGGGTTTAGAACAGTTTTGCAATCCATGGCCTACATTGTTTTGGAAAGATATATTTGTTGGAACAGCTGATAGAAACGTAGAAAAAGTTAATGGATAAATGAATATTTTATTGCTTTAGATGATTCTTCTAATTCATACAGTTTGAATAACATTTCTTAGAATGGTTATTTTGGAAAATAAGCAGGAAAGTGTATTTCTCTCTCTCCAAAAAATGAATAAATCACAGAAATAAACATGTAAAGTTTGCTAATAGATTTTAACTGGGTGAGCCTGGAGGTAAAGTAAAAACCAAGTACAAACATTTGGTCCCACTTTTATGCACGGTGTAGGACCTTTAATGCTGTGCAACCTTTTCTATTGAAAAAGTCTCAGAATATTTAGGAAGAGACAGTTTAGGAAAAATAAAACCACCATCATCACTGGTTCTTTTAAAAGGACAATACTTCATTTATTTTGTGATAAAAAAAAAACAACAACAATTTATTAACATGAGATTTATCGAGACTAAGAGGCAGCAGAGAATATTTTAAAAAACATCTCCTAGTCTGACACCAGCTAAAGAGTCTAACTTAACACAAACCATTGAGGGTCTTAGATGAGCAATCTGTGAAAACAGACAGTGATCCTATTACTAATACTAAAGGGAATAATTCTTAAAACATGGGCGTTTCCTACAAACAGAAAAAGGAAGTACGTTTTTTTATTTTTAAGAGTAAAAGGTCATTTTATTCATGAAGTGAAGAGCCAGAAACAGATAAGAGAAGCTAAAAACTGAAGAGGAAAGGAAAGTTTATATCTAGAAGTTCCCACGCAAAGAGTAAATGTTTATCAGATGGCTCGTTTTCAGAGAACTTCATAAAATTCAAGGTAAGAACATGAACGTTTTAGTCAGGTTGCTACATTTTAGTCCCTGGAAAAACGAAAAACAAACTGCATATTAGAGTTTCACTTTCCTGATCTACAGGATCCCAGAGGGATATCAATCCACATTGTATATGATGGTTATGAAATTACTTTTCTAAGGCTGAAGAGAGAATATTTTTAATTATATGCCTCAGACAGAATTTCATGTTTCAATGTTAACCCTTTTCCACTAGCGTTAGAAAACAGAAATCTTCCACTAAACTGATAGTAAAAACTGCTTTGTTCCATTTGACTGTGAAACCAGTTTTAAAACCAGTGTTATTTCCTCTGGCAATAAGGATGGCACAAATAAAAAGGTCATTTTGATTAAATATTATAAATGCTGTTTTTGCAAATGAGTCTGTGATTATTTAATGGCTTTAAAAAAGGTGAGGGAAATTCACTGAACACTAACTGTCTGTAAACAGCATCTTATTTAAAACGTCCACCACTTATTAGTGAGAGATCTGCTTTAGAAAGCAGGTACCTGAGTGAGGCGACGGGACTGACGCATCAGCCGACACCGAGCTTTCCTCTGGGACTCAGACTCTTCATCTCTATCTGCTGCCTGGAACCTGAACACAAAAACCGACCTTCATTATCTGAAATACTCCAGAGCTGCTGAGGGAAGGATCCTCATGAGGAGGGAAAGACAATGCATGCGTTACTGTTTGGGTTGCTGTTTCTTGTCTGCGACTGGAGCACTGGGACTCTCGACGACAGCCTCCCTCGTTTGAGGAGTGGGCTGGACCCTGGCGGTGCGGCTTGCCTTGTTCTGCTCCTTCTCCTCCTCCGTCTGCTCCTCATCCTCTGTTTTCTCCTCAGAAGGCTGTAGAAAACCAGCGGGAAAAAATGACAGTGAAGCTCCAATTAGACTCTTACGTGCAGAAGAAATAAGGAAATGACACCAGTACAAAAACATATCTGATAACCCTGTTATTCATCAACCTAATTAATTACCAGTGATTAAAACCTTTATTAAATCAGGTTTCTACTATATTATGACAAAATTCCATCCTTTTCCAGACTAAATGTTCTAAAAGTCCCAGTCCTTTGCATTAATTTACAAAAAAGAGAAGGAAGTTATTACACACACAGAAACACATAAAACAAGGACAAAGAAATACAGGAAGGAAGGAAGCAAGGTAGCAAGATAAAGACTTATGGAAGGAAGAAAATCAAAGAAGGTATATTATAAAAGTATTTCCCATATATTTATAGATAATTATACCCATCCCCTACATAACAAATTCCAGTTTCTACCCTCTGGTTTTAAATATCCACCAGCTCGGACCAATAGATACAAACACTCCTTTATTGCCTCTGCTGTTCAGCTGCTAAACACTACTAGGAAGAGCAGATAGTCATATGTTGCATGCATATAGGCCTATGCTCTCATTCATCCCCTGCACTGAACATGTTTTTTCCTCTCTTTTATCCACCTTACTTTTATCTTTTTAAAATATTTTATGTGTTTCTTGTTTCTTTATTTTTCATTTGTGAAATGTGAACGTGTGTGTGTGAAAGGAGTACTACTACTGCACAAAAATTGCCCATACTGGGACAAATAAAAGCTACTGAACTGAACTATTTGAATTCTAATGACTGTCTTCATATGTATTTTGACCTGGAAAATACTGAAATCACATCTCAGACCTTTTCAGATTGCAGAATGCAAGTTAAACACAGAGGACCTTAACTGCTCATTCCTATCCACCTTCCATACCTGGAGGAGGAAAACATTTTGCAGTGTTTGCTTCAGTAAGCTTAGCATCTAGCAGATAACAGAAAATCATCTAACAGAGAGAAACTAAAATCAATGCCAGGAAATGGCAAATTTTACAAACAATACTGTGTTTTAGATTTGGCAGGGCAGTGAGAGGCTTCTTAAAATCAATTTTGCAAATAAATAAAGATAAAATTTGACCTTTTTTTATTCCATAGTAGCTTTATTAAGCATAAAACTAGTAGAGCTTTCCATATTTATTTGGCCTTTGAACATAGGACTGCTCAAGAAACCTGGGTTAAGATAAAAATGCTGTTAAAATGGATCTAGAGATCAAATAACACGTGAAATAGTAAGTTCATGATGTGGTTCGATAATTCAAACAAAATGCTCACCATCTAAATCTAAATGAACTTAAATACCCTTTCTTTTACTTCAGAAATTCTGTTTTCCTTGATCTTTATAGGGCAAAAGAAAAAGGTAGAAAATATAATCTGGAAACATTTTTTCCATACTTGTCCAGACTTGTGAAATGATAAAAATCAAATTCCAGACTTTCCTCAGCTGCATAGTTGCCCTGGTTATTGTAGATATATAAACTTAATCATTGGAAACACTAAAACAATCACAGAGCATTTCAAAGCAGTACCAGCTCCAATCCAAACTGGCAGAACATTTCCAATTAAAATGCATAAAGCTAATGAGGCTTTGTAGAGGAGAAATCAAAACATTGACTGTTTTAGTGATAAATCTACAACCAATGATTCGCATTCCCAGAAAGAAATAAAGCCAGTGGAAAAACTGTTCAACAACCTGTTCAAAAAGGTTGTTGAACAGACACACAAAGCAGCAGCTGCATCGCGTCTTTAAACCTTTAAATCTATTACCAAAACACTCAGCATGGAGGCTCTGGTTGTCGATCCCTAAGCAATAAAACCCATTCAGTCTAACTGCTGGATTTAGAGCTATGTTTCAGCAGCTCAGCTTCAGATACTAATAACTACAGTTAAAAATGAATGGAAAAAGGAAAGAACAGTTGAAAACAGTAAAGGAAAATAAACCAGTTATGATACAAATTGTTTTAATTACACTTGAGCAGAAATGTCAGACTGTGTAAAATAATCTACAGCTCATACAATCGTTTAACTGTAATTGCTTGAAATGAATCATAAACCCCTGGTTGTTATTATCCAGTTAAAGAAATAGTTAAATTTCATGTTCAGATAGTAAAAAAAAAAAAAAAAAGAGCTATTAACAGATTTTGTTTTCTCTCTGTCCCTTCGTCTATCTAAAGTGCCATTTTTTTAATATTAGGAATATATAAAATACATTTCTGGCCCCCTTAGAGTGAGTGGAAACCTTTATGAAATCCAGTTTATGTAGGCAGTTTTATCAAACTTATCTGTGGCTGGCTGGATTTTTATAGCCTGGGTGCCAGTCAGAACTTAGTCCCGCCCACAAGGTTTGAGTTCGGGGAAGTTCGGTCTGGCTCTGCTCCATAGTAGCGCGAGTATTATCGCCCACTGTCAGGCGATCCAATCAAATTGTCAGGGCGGGCTTTATACGATGATGGACAGATGATCAACAGTAACGTTATCAACCACGTGACCAATGCGCGCTAGGGTGACAACAATAATGGCTGCCGCTGGAGAGTTGAGGTGAGTAGATTCTGCTATTAGGTCTGTTCTAAAAGATATCGACAGCAAATTAATTTTAAAAGAGGAACAGAGAAACGCGATCAAGTCTCATCTTCTTATTCTAGGCGTGAAACTGCACGCTTTGATTTTTGTGGACAACAACTATGCCTCGCTTAACATACGTCACGCACTCCGTTGCTCTTATTGGTTGTAGGTCTATCCAATTGAGTGCAGAGGCATTTTTTTTCCTGGTTCGTTCGAAACACGCCCCATAATCACAGCTCTATGGAGCAGTATCAGACTCATATTCTGACTAGAATTGAGTCGGACTACGTCAGGCTAGGATTTTTACCTTCTCGGCAGGAGTAATGGTGGATATGGTCCCGCTCTCTGTGTCTGGACTGGAAACAGTGGAGCTTTCTGCAGAGGAGGCCAATGAGCATGATTAGTCAGATCCAGATTAACCAGATGAAGTATTCTGGGCTGAGCAAATTTACCAGTACCCGCTTTCCTTCTCCTCGCTCATATCCAGGTCTGAAACACCTCTTTCCTTGGACAGATCCTGTACGTTTATCTTGTCCTTACTGCTCATCCTGCACACCGACGTCCTGGAAGCAAGGCAATAAGTTAGTGGTTAAAAATCATCCTGCTTACTGTTCCCACATTGGAACCTAAATAAATGTTGAATAGAAAAAGCAATAAACCTCCGTCGCTTGTTTTGTACATTAGCAGTATTGTGGCCTGGTTGGTTCTGCCGTTCTGATATCGAGCGCTCGTTACGCCACTGACAGATGGAAGGAAAAAAAAAATTATAAAATGCAGAGAAAGTTTATTAGTGTTAAGTAAAAATAAACTTGTGCTCACGTTAGCTTGCTTCTGTGATAACTCTTCCAGCAGCTCTGCAACACTTTCATCAGCTACATCAAACGGCGTCTGACCCTGCAGGATTCAAGGAAAGCCACATTAAGAGGCATATTAAGAGGCAGAGATGGGCTACAGTCAGAGGTGAGACCCTCCACGAGTGTCTGGGCCTCACCCCGTTGCTGCGAGCCTCCATGTTGCACAGCTGCTCGGCCAGAATGCGACACGCCTCTTCTTGACCCCAGTGAGCTGCAGCGTGAAGAGGCGTCCAGCCATCAAAGTCTGTGGCCGACACGTCGAGTCCACACTGACACAGTATCCTGTGAGAGCAAAATGGACAGTAATAAGTAGGGGCTTTCCTTGAAATATTGTTCTAGATAAGGATAAGATTGAAAAAGAATGAATGGAAATGATACGCATTTAAAACGCACCTTTTCTCATAAGGTTTTGACTTAGCATGACAGAACATCTACGTATTTCATATTTCATTCAACTCTAGTAGCTTGTAACTTATTCTGGGTGTCTATCATGCATGTGTCTATTTTTAAAGTGCTTATAAATAAAGTTGGCTTAGCGTGGCTATTTCCAGACTTCCTTCCCTTCCTGTGGTTTCTACGTTGTTTCCTTCCTTCCATGTGTCTACCCTTCCATGCTTCTTTTTCTTTCCTCACTTACCTCCTTTCCATGTCTCCAACCTTCTTTATTTTTTAATCATGCCCAACTGATCTTATATTTGTACCAGAGTATTTTTCTTCCTTTCTTGTGTCTACACTTCGATCTGGCCTTGTGCTCCATTTTTCTTCCTCATCTTCTCCCTAATGTCTCTTCTCTTTTTCTCAGTCCTTCCTTCTTCAAAATTCACATCCCATGTTTTCTTCCTATTCAGTTTATTTCCTAGGTCTGTCCTTTCTATTCAGTTTATTTCCTAGGTCTGTCCTTTCTATTCAGTTTATTTCCTCCCTCCCTGAGTCCTTCCTTTCCTCTTACCTCCTACCTAACTTCTCGTTTTCTTTTTTTTTTTTTTATCACGTCTCCTTTCGCCATTCCTTCCCTGTCATTTATTTTTTGCTCTTTCCACCCTTCTTTTCTCCCTTCCTCCTCTGTGTATTTTTTCTTGTGTCCATCCTTCCCTCCTTCCTTGGCCTCCATCTGTCAGTCTCTGGTGTTTCCAAGCTCCATATATAAAGTCCCCTCTACTATACATTTGCTGAAATTCTATTCTTAGAAACAAAAATACATTTAAACTAAGATTTCTTCACTAGATTTTTTTTCCAATTGAAAACTACGTATGAGAAACCGGACAGCTAGATCTATCAATCTCAATACAACGGACATAAAATTCAGCTGTCAAATAAATCAGTGGCGACCCTACAAGTGTGTGCTTATTACTTCAGAGCCTCCACATATCCTTTGGCTGCAGCGACGTGCAGCGGAGAGGCGCCAGTTCTTGGATCCTTGACATCAGCAGGCGGACCCTCGTTTAGCCAGGTCCGGGCGTCTGACATCATCTGCTCCTCTTCCTTACGCTTAGCTGCCTCCAAGTTCACACCTGCCGACAGAAGATAATAAGAACATACTGAATATATAAAGGAGTAAAAGGTGGCTTTGTTAGTTTAATATCCAACGAAACATCAAAGCGAGAACACAGCATTCTAAATCACTGGTGACAGAACAAGCAGGAGGAGCTGATGTCACCAACCCAGAGCAGATCACTGTGGTCCTCCATCAGACAAAGACCACCAGTGTCTAATAAATGACCACAGCTGCAAGACTGAATCGTTCAGGGAAAACAGGTCACTTCAGTTCTGTACTTCAAATGAATTTACATTTATAGTTGGGATATGAAAAAGCCTTTAACATTTCAAAGCAAGTTTATTATCAGGCAAAAAGATAATGTTACGATTAACTAACATGCTTGAAAATTTTGGTTGTATAGCTGTACAATAAAACCTGGTGAGGAGAAGTAAGGAGAAGGAAGTTTCATTTTAATTTGGGCCATTTAACTCAAACGTATATTTTACAATCAATGAAAACATTAAACAGGCATCATTTCTATATAAAACTCTAGTTCTATCAAAACAGTTAAACATTAAAACATCTTTATAGGAGCCATGTAGCGCTGGTGATATGGCCTCAAAGTCTTATGATATTTTGTGGAACTACCCTGATAACAAAACTGACTATAATAAACACTAAATAAACCTTTGAATTCATTCTTAGGACTGCATGCCACAGCCATCATAGCCCCTCAGTCACAAACACTAGTCTTTGAAAAAATATACAAATTTAAAATAAGCTTCTTTAGGACACCAGTTACATAAAGAAGTATGGTTTATATAACTGAACATCCTGTAATAACCATAGTTAATCATAATCTTTTAATTTGACAATGCCCCAATGAAAGAGCAATGCAAATAACCGTGGTACCTGTGGAGTACCACATGGAGCAGTGATAGGACCAATTGTCTGCAATCAGGAAAGGGGTTATAAGAGATTCGAATCGGGTCGGCTGTCTCAAGGACTAAGGCCTCTATATATGGGTTGTGCGCGCTAACCACTGTGCCACCTGTACTGCCCCAATTCTCTTTACTTATTAATTTGCACTGTTATGCTGATGATACTCATCTATATCCAACTATAAATCCAGACCAAGCTAACCTATTATTTAGATTACAGGCATGCTTTGAAGACATAAAAACCCTTTGAAGACATAAAAACCTGGATGACTCTTAACTTTCTCCTTCTGAATGCAGAGAAAACATAAGTTATAGTCTTTGGACCAGAGTCTTAGAAAAAGAAGCTGTTTAGTCAGTCACTTCATTTGGATGGGATTCAACTAACTTAAAAAAATAAAGTAAAAAAATCTTGGTGTTATTTTTTATCAGGACTTGTCATTTAAAATCCATATCAAAGAGGTTTCTAGAAGGTCTTTCTTTCATCTGAGGAATATTGCAAAAATTAGAAATATCCTGTCCAGGGGTGATGCTGAGAAACTAGTCCATGCATTTGTTACTTTAAGGCTGGACTATTGTAATTCTTTACTATCAGGAAGTCCACAAACTGTAGTTAAAAGCCTTCAGCTGATCCAAAATGTTGCAGCCAGAGTTCTGATGAAAATTAAAAAGAGAGATCATATCTCTCCTATCCTGGTTTCTCTTCATTGGCTTCCTGTTAAATCAAGAATAGAATTTAAAATCCTCCTTCTCACATATAAAGCCTTAAATGGCCAAGCTCCATCTTGATAAGATTGCTCCTTATGACGCTAACAGAACAAAGGCGGTCCAACCCTTTACAAGCATGGGGTACCTAATAAAGTGGCCGGTGAGTGTGTATATATATATGTGTATATATATATATATATATATATATACATATATATATATATATATATATATATATATATATATATATATATATACATATATATATATATATATATATACATATATATATATATATATATATATATATATATATATATATATATATATATATATATATATATATATATATATATATACATACACACACACACACATATATATATAGTGTGTGTGTGTGTGTATATATATATATATATATATATATACACACACACATATATATATATATATATAGTGTGTGTGTGTGTGTGTATATATATATATATATATATATATTTTTTTTTTTTTTTTTTTTTTTTCTCAGTCCACCTGACTTCTGCACAACCCCATATATAAGGCAAGAAATTCCACAGGGGGCACGTGTGAAGGGAAAACCATTTCAGGTGACTACCTCTTGAAGCTCATCAAGAGAATGCCAAGAGTGAGCAACGCAGTAATCAAAGCACAAGGTGGCTACTTTAAAGAACCTAGAATATAAGACATATGGGGGCTATGAGTGCTTCATCTTCCTAATCACTGCCCTCTCTAGCTCTCTTCTTTCACCACAAAATCTGACTAAAAGCCATATTCTACCCAGAAGGTCCTCCATTGATGCCTTCTGTTTGTGTTGCATATGTACCAAGGGGACGCCTTGCTTTAAAAACCACGCCAACATTGCTGTAGTACTCGATTGTAACGGAAAACCACGGATGTAGAGAAGAATTAATAAAACAAAACCAGGAGGTACCAATGGAGAAAAGCCAACTTAGAGTCAGAACAACAAGTCATGCAAGAAAAAAACCAAGCAAAACACAATATTTGATGGTAAGTAAGATCATTTTTTCCCCCAACTGCCATAAATAGGCTCCAAATATCTGAAAAATGGAACTTAAATATTTTAATTAAAACCTTGCTTAGATCTTTTTCATAATAAAAAAACAAAGATAATAAGTGAGAACTTTGAGTGTAAAATACAGAAAAAAGTATTAGCATATAAAGTTTTCTCTAACAGAACTACCTCTTTCGAATACACATAGAAACCCCCCACCAAAAATAGGGACGCTGCAATCATATCCCATGACTGGTTTGTGAAAAAAACCTTGTTTGCTTAAGGATGGACAAATCTCTTCCCCATTTCTTTTAACCATGAAATAATAAATAAATACAACCAAAGATTTTATTTGCATTACTGAAGCAAAAATTTTAATGAAATATATAGGGTGTGACGACTGTGTGCCGGCAAATAACTCACCTTGTTTTTGTGTGTAATCATGAAGAAGAGACTCGGTGGTCTCATCCAGAGCAATGTCCAGAGGAACGTCACCATCACAGTTCACAGCAGTAAGAGACGCACCTTTCTGAAGGAGGAATCTACCAAGGAAGAAAACGTATCTTTGAATCATTCCAACAAAATGCCTTTAACAGAGATTTCCTGATCCTATCCTTCAGTCATGTCATCAATGGTTATTGTGCTGATGACAGATTTATTTTTAACCAAATCAGTTGGAGGATATGTTGCTTATAGCACTAGCGGACTGGAACCAGTTTGATGACAAAGCCCTCATGAATTAAAGCTCCAAATTGAGAGTAAACAGACAAACAAACAAGTAACAGCAAGGAAAAAAACAACAAAAGCAAATAAATTTCTAGATCTCTGAAGCTGCATGCATTTTGAGTGCTGGGATACTACGCTTCAGCAATAGTGTTATGAAGGCACAGATGACAACAATGTTAGTTTTGTTGTGTGCTGAAATGCTCCGGCACCCACGCTGTGATCTCACATTCAATTCAGTGGGAAAAAAATAAAAAAATTAAGAGTAATGTGTTGCGCTGATTTAACCATTTAGAGAAATCTTCTACACACTCTGCAATGTCAGGGTAGCCGCAGGAGGAAGCAACATGCAGCGGCGTCCATCCCTCACTGTCAACCTGGTTTACGTTGGCGCCGTGCTCCAGCAGGAAGGTCACGATCTCCATGCTGCCATCTATGCAGGCCTGCAAACATTAAACAAAAAATAAGATTATCACATTCAGCTTTTTTATTTTAGTATTTATTTTATTTGTTGATTTTTGGCAGCATCTTGCATCTTGTCACATTAAAACAACAAACTTCAATGTTTTTTTACTTTTATTTATTTTTTTTTTTTAAACAAAAATAAAATTTGGACATATAAAATTCAAAGCTTAGGTGGAAGAAACTGTGGATAGAAATAAATAGCTGTGTAGTAGTGAGGACTGTTGGGTCTGCCAGCAGAGTGGTCACTCAGACCACTATGGTGATGTCAGGCCCTCGTTTTGTGCCATCATTCTAGCACTTTCCACTGAGTGCACCGTCGCCTCAAGCTAACAAACGAGGCATTCATGGGCATAGCCGATTACCCTAGTGTCATTGGTATCATTGATGGGACACACGTCCGCATCACTGCACCGTAGCAAGATAAAGACATTTAACAGTGGGCCATATAACAGAATTAATGCTCAGTTTTTTTTAATAAGAATGATATTACTTTGGTCATTTCAACAAACTAAAGTGCTAAATACAAGCAGCACATTGATTTCAAATAAAAGAAGCGGTAAAATAACCTGCATGGTTCAGATTAGCCTATACCAGCACACAGAAAAATAAATGCATCATAACAATGAGGATGCTGTGATCACAACAAACAGCATTCAATAGAGGTATTGGATGCAGGAGCTTGCCTAGCAACCAGATGGTTTCTGGTTTGAAACTCCTGCTCCAGCTTTGTAGTTGTGCCCTTTGGCAACGCGCTTCAGCTGCATCGTCTACAACTGAGGCCTGTGTCACTTTTTTAACCAAGCCCATAGGCTGTGAAACCTGCATTGTAATGTGATCTAGCTTCTCTGAGTTCACCAAAAGATAGTCCATTCGCCTCACTAGAATCCCAGCCTTCCCCGTGCAGCGTTCCAGAGCCAACATCTACAAGCACGGAAATCCTTTGCTCTAGCTGCAAAATTCACGTTCGGTGTGAACGGTGTCCACCACACCTCCTCGCTAAAACATAAACATCTCTGTTTACTCATTGCTCAGAGCTGCTCTCAGCATCTAGTTTAATCACACTTGATCCTAATTTCCCGATGAGCATCCCGAATATGAGAAGAATGCGACACAGAAAAGGAAACGGACACCAAACATGGCCACCCGCAAGAAAGTTTCCTAGTGATTCTCCCAATGTAAACAAAATAACAAAATATGTCAGGGATAAATAAATATTTTGAAACTTTTGTAATTGATTCATTGAAATCCCTTGATTTTAATTAGGGTTAGTACACATCATAGCCAAAAAAGTCAGAAAATATCTTTGAGACGCTGGAGGTAAATGACAGCAAGCCTTTATTCACCTGGTGGAGTGCAGTGATGCCATCAGCGTTGGAGCAGTTAACGATGTCTGGTAGGTTCTCCCCGTTCCTGGATTTGGTTTGTTCAGTCTCCTCCAGCATCACCTTCGCCTCCTCCGTGTCGCCGCTGGCACAAGCAGCGAGGAACTCGGCAGCGCTGTCAAACCTGACCCTCTTCCTGAAACGGGACAATGATGACTATTAGCAAAAAACTCTACTCCGCTGGCCTAGAAGTGTCCATTCCTTATCAGATATATCTGCTCAGTCTTGATGCTGAAATATTTAGCTGGATAATACCAGCAAGCCGACATGAAACACAACATGAACAGAAAATTCAACACAGGCATCAATGTCACATTAACTTTCAGTTGGTATTAGGGATAAAGCAATTAATCAAATTAATCATGATTAATGGATTATCGAAATAACCGTCATCTAATTTAGTGATCAATTAATCGTTAACTGGAGTATAGGCTATAAAACATGCCTTTAGCCGACAGAGCTACCCACTTACAGCAGTAATATTACCAAAATTGTAAAAAAATATATATATAAAGATTGTCAATTGTCAATCAGTTCTAGATATGCTCTATCCAGAACTCCTGAAGTGGAAACGTTTTATTTTCTCCTTGTTTCATTCTGTAAAAAACCTTTTTTGAGGAGCCTTTGGGTATCAGATTACTAAAATAATCATTAGTTGCAGCCATATTTAAATGTTTGAATTTGACCACAGACCTAAGGTTAGTCTGTTATTGTTCCAAAATCAGTTTTAATATATGTTTGGGATCATTGTTCTAAAGCAGCAACAATTACAAGTCAAAATTTCAACCATCTAGCTGTTGATTTGTGTTTAAGTTGAACAATCTAAGGGAAATCCTCCATCTTAACGAGTCAATGCACTTCATGCACCGGTACCAACAGCATGATGCTGCCACCGCTATGCATAAGAGTTGACTCTTAAGATTTCAAGGCCTCATCTTGACTTGTACAAACAAACTAACCAATTTTGACAAAAACCTCGATCCAATCTGACCATCAAACTCTTCAGTCAAACTGTCATTTTCTCAGCAGCCACTTCTCTTTTGTCTGGCCCTTCCTCAGTTCTTTATTAATGTTAATCATAAATTAAGTGGTTTTAGGGTAAGACATTCTTAAAACTACATATCTGGACTGCTTAGAAAGCAAGTTGAAAGGAACTCTATTGATTCTAAACTGGTTAAATTCAAAAGCAGAATTATTACTCAAAGCTTGTTAAATGAAGAAAAATCTTAATTTTTAAAATCACAGCTTTTAAAAAGGGGTATTTTAGCAGAACAGAATTATGTAGAATAGAAACATTCATTTATTTTCCCACAATGGGGAAATTGCAGTGTATACAGCAGCAAAGGTATTTCAGCAAAAGTGGTCACACAAATTCGGACCTTAAAAAGTGTATAAAAATAACGGAATAAGTGACAAAATAAAATAATGTACTGTACAGTGCTTTTACAAATATAAACACTGTGTATCTGGAGAATAAATAATCAATATACAGCTGTGGACAATTCTATAGTAGTGCATATGTGAAAAATAGCAGCATCACCCTGTTGGGATAGCAAAACAAACTCAAACATATGCATCTGTTTTCCTTTTCGTTTTAAAATCCATGTGCGTTTTCTGTTCTATGGTCAACTTACCCTGTAAAAAGAATGTTAAAATATATCATGAAAAACACAGATGCATGCAAGTATCTGTAAACCAATCAATCACAACATATTGACCACTGACAGATACTCTTGCACCAAAACAACATTTTTTTCCTTTTAGATCAGGGGTGTCCAAGGATACGTTCACACTGCAGGCCTTAATGCTCAATTCCGAATTTTTTGTGAAATCAGATTTTTTTGCGTTGCTGTTCATATTTCCAATGACGTCACAGGCCAGCATGCTCTATGTTTACGGAAGTAAACATGGATGGTAGTGCTGACGCGCATCTAGCGGTCTTTCCCAACCATAAAAAAAACAATATTTTCAATATGGTTAAACATAAATGCTGCTCTCCGCATCATCATCTGCCATGGTTGTTGTTTTTCTTGCCGCTTCTTCATAGCAAGACGAAGAATAGTGACCTTTGTCGGGTATTAATGGCGTTCAGGTAGGATAAATGCGACCTGGCCGTTCAGACACAGGTCACATTTGAAAAGATCAGATTTGTATCGGATTCAGGACCACATAGCCAAGTGGCCTGGGTCACATTGGAAAAAATCGGATCTGTGTTGTTTAGACTGCCATGAAAAGATCAGATACAGGTCGCATATGGGCCCAAAAAAAAAAAAAATCGGATTCTGGTCACTTCAGGCTGCAGTGTGAACTTAGCCAAAGGTCACCATTCTGGGTCTTGCTATGAAGAAGTGGCAAGAAAAACAACAACCATGAAAGACGATGATGCAGAGAACCATATTTATGTTTAACCATCTTGAAAATATTGTTTTTTTTTATGGTTGGGAAAGATCACTAGATGCGCTCTGGCACTACCATCCATGTTTACTTCCGCAAACACAGAGCACACTGGCCTGTGACGTCATTACATCCTCTACTGCGCATGGGGGACACTGCAGTTCACACAGTAGATCCCACAGAAGTCAAATATAGTTGGAAATATGAGTCATCATGTTCAGATTGGACTCACTTGATTGGATGACTGGAGTCTGATGTGCTATTGCTGGGTTGGAAAGAAAACCTGCAGCCACACGGCCCTTTCTGGAACCACTTTGACACCCCTGTTTTAGATTTTGCATTTGAAGAAGGAAAAGAGATGTCCAAACCGGGAAAAGAAACTAAACTGGAAGGCAACATGTCTGTTACAGCATCTCTTCAGATGAATTTCAAACTGAGCATCTATTATGACAGCAGCCAACAACAAGCATTCAATAATAGACTTGAACTCTGGAAAATAACATGAAAACCAAACATCTTTCAGCAAATATACTTCCTGTACAAATCCCTCCGAAACACTAAAGGACAGACTGATAATCACTTGTTGATCTGATGACTGAGCACGAAACAAGGAAGTCAAAAGAGATGGAATTTGTGATATCTGGATGGGATAGTATCTGAGTGTACTGCAGAAGTTAGTAAACCAAAACTGATACATTACCCTCCAGATTAAGAAATTCTGGTGAACAAGGATTTCTTTAAATTCCATACGAGTCCACAAAGAACTGAGATGAATCACATTTAAAGCGTTTCCTGGGAACATTGCATAATAACAGCTCTCTCAGAATCACATTTTTGTTGTTAAAATACCTGCTATGACAGCCAATCAATGTAAACATTGTTTTTTTAAGAAAAGTAAATGATGAAATGTTTTGAAAAACTTGGTTGACCAAAGGTAGCCCACATTGAAAATATGGGCAATATATTACTCAGATTATAGAAGATCAAAGGGGAACTTCTGGGCCTTAGGATAACTTTACCCTTAGCACCATTTCACCACAGCGAAACATGGTGGTGGCAGAGTCATGCACCGGGGCCTGCTTTTCAAAAGCCAGGGTTCAGAAAGCTGGACAGAGTAGATGGGGAGTTTGATGAAACCAACCAAAAATTGGCAATACTGGTCAGATACACCTGCACAAATCCAGTTATATAAGAGAATATGATTTTCTGAGGGCTTCACAGAACAGCTTACAGTTTGACAAAATATTTACAAGTCAGTTGTTCAGAGATTGAACAACCAATTACCATTTAAAGCACCAATACTTAAACTACTAAACTGTTCATCTATAATTACACAAATGTATAGCTTAATAAATACCCCATAAATAATGTATTAGTGAGGATCCTATAATGTATTTAGTTTCTGTTGTATTCAAAACAATCACATCTGCTCCTATGTTACATTCCTCATTAAAACAAAATTAATCTGGTAAAATGTGAAAAAGAAAAGCTAAAATGTAGATAGATAAAATGTATTAGCCTTTCATTATTAGTCACAAAAGAAAAAACAGTAGATTGCGAGACAGCAATACAGTATAAGTCAAAATCACTGGCTGTATGTTGGTGCACAAAGTAATGAAAAAAATAGATAAATTACCAGCAGCTTTTTGGTTCCTATGAGGAAGAATGTTCAGATCGATGTGTTGATCAAGACTTTTGCAGTGGGTTAAAAAGCAGTGAAAAAAGGAACGAGATGAAGCCCAAGATCATTAAACCAGGGGAGATGCATATGTTGAAGGTACACTGACTGAACATGAGCAGGGCTAATATACAGCACTATCCCATAAGATTGATCCAACATGGACAGCAGACAACAAAACCACAAAGATTAGAGAACTCCTGATACTATGAATGGGCCCGTTTTCGACAAAGCCGTGTCCTCACCGTCCACTGAGGATGGGACTGCTACCATCTCTGCCCGCTGCCTCTGGCTGCTGCTCTCCCGGCGGGTCGCAGCTCAGTTCGGCCTCGGCCTCCCCTGCCGCCTCCCCGGCATCGCCGCGCCACCTCCGGCGGGGAACGTCGGACGCTCTGTCGGTGCAGGAGCCGGCCCAGCGCTTCAGCTGCTCCCGCCGCTTGGTCTTTGCCGTGTCCCCCATTAAATTAACCGCGGAGGACGGTGTTTTTAAAACTAAAACCTGTGCTGGCGGGGCCAGACACACCCTCCATGTGTATACTTTCGCTTCCTGGTTCTGGGTCCTGAGCTGTGGGAGCTCAGCTCGTGCCCGAGAGCGCCGGGGACGCGCTAAGATAACGTCTAGCTTTTTTTTATTTTTTTATTTTTTTTTAAATAAACTTTATTTACAAATACAGAATATACAATTGCAAACAATCGTATGCTCAGGGTGCTGGGGTAACAAATTCATAGGATTCCATGACAAAAACAGAGAGAAAAAAAGATAGTATCTAGCTAGCTGTTTCGAAATGAGAAACGTGTGCGCGCATTGTGAACCGCACTTCCTGCAATTGTGGTAGCTGTTGCATGACTGCAACCTCTAAATACATCCTCCAAAACGACATAGAAAATACACAGTGTGGATTTAATTATCAGCGTTTATTAGCATGTTTTAAGGACACACACACACATATATATAGGGACCCCTATTTCATCATTTTGCTTCATTCTATCTCTATTCTCCCACTCTGCAGAAGCAGAATCTATTAATTCAATCTCTAACTTTATGCTCTCTGCTTTTTCTCATAGTAGCTTCACCTTGTTTGTTCCTGTTTGGCTGATACACCATCCTGGAGAGAAATATCAACTGTGCTGCTGCCATCAACACCTTTGTTTATAGATGTTCAAAATTGGCCTGTTTTTCAGTGTAGGCCTGTTTCTCTGACTGTGACTGGCTGGATGTGCTCTCTTCATCCTCTGACATGGGAGCTGGCTCGGAGCTCGTCTGCCTGGCTGTGTGTTTCCTGGATGGGGCCTCCTTTTACAGCTGCTTTTTGTATCTTTGCTTCTATCTCCTTGAACCCCAGTCGGCCTCAGCAGGTGGCCGCTCACACTGATACTGGTTCTGCTGGAGGTTTCTTCCTGTTAAAAGTGTTTTTTCCTCTCCACTGTCGCTACAAGCCTCAATGAGTTGATGCAATCAACTGGTTTTCCTTAGATAGAAAACTTTGAATCAATTTGACTGTATGATCTGGTGAACTGTACAGTGCCTTGAGATGACATGTGTTGTGAATTGGTGCTATGTAAATGAGCTGAATTGAATTGTGTGTGTATATACATATATATCTGTGGTTTTAGAAAATGGGTCCTCCGCACCCTTACTATATCGCCACTGTCACCACAAGTGTTCATTTCAGCTATTTCAGCAGTTGATTTAAGTTATCTGATTGAATAATTACATTTTAGTAATACAAGACATTTTAAATCTATTAATCTAGACACAACTACGGTTGCTAACTCCCTGAAAAAAGGGGCACCTCATGTGTTTGCCAGCTGATCCAATTGCCTTTACCCCTCCTGGCGTGGTGATTTTTTTTAGCCCCCTTTTGGGTGTGAAATTATCTTTTTAACTACTTGACTCAAATCTATATTGAATTAGATGCATATTTGTGAGTGACATGAACACTTGGAAAATAAACTTTGCTGAATAACATAAGCATCTTAAACATAAGCCTGTCCTGCTTAACTTCAAACTGTAAAAATAAATATTAAACAATAAATAAATAGTGCACCTTTTTCGTGCAACAGCAAACTCGTGCAAACGTGTAAACATATTTGTGCCTTAAATGCAACGGCTGTAGGCTACAGTTGTAAAACAGAAAAAAAAATAATTAGCTCAATGCCACATTATGTGGCGATAGGCTACTTTTCCACTTGTATTTCCTCTGAGCTCTTGCAGCAGTGAGTATTTGTTTGTCTTTGAGTGCTGCACAGTAAAACTCTGCACAAGACAGTTCATAATTGAGGCTGACAATAAGCTCAGCTTTAATAAATTCAGTGGAACATTTGTTCTGCACATCAGTCCATTTGTTCTCCATTCAGGAGAAAATCATCTCCAAAAAACCAGTGGAAGATGGGATGCTGAGGACAAAGGATACAGCAGCTTGGATGTTGACAAGGTTCCTTTGGACTGCAAGGATCCTTTTTCCTGAGCGAGGTGCTCCAGAAGACTGTTTGCAGTTACAAATTCTTCATACAGATCATTCATGGACATGCTCAGACTGCTCTGTTGTCTCCCGCAGTCTTCTCTGTGAGCAACACTTGGCTCAGCCAATGGGATGAGGGTACTCTGGATCGTTACATATATGTTGTCAGCTCATTGGTTACAACTCAGGACAGGGCCTGGGAACAATTTTACCCTAAGTTTTGTATCTAACGTGCCCTTGTTCTTCATTTTCCATTAGCTTTTTACTGACTATTTTTTTAATTTCACAGTAATACCGGACAAAGTGAGTTCTTTTTCCACTAAATACGGGACGGGTTCTTCTATTTCTAAATACAGAACAATTCCTTTTTTCAAAGGACGGTTAACAACTCTAGACACAACCATTACAGCATTGTTAACTCCTCTGTGCTGTTGACCAGTTCGTTACACACACTGTGGGATGGCATCCCATTCTTTGACCAGTATTGGTCCTCATTGGCCAATTTTAGTTAGAAATTGGCCAATTAGGATGTATGTCCAAACTGAATCCATTAATGTTCGATAGTATTGCAATCAGGACTGTAGGGAAGCCATTCCAACCTTTCCATTAATCCATTCCATATTGCTTTTAGTGTTGGGGGTGTTGGCCTTGTGGTTAGGGCAGTGGGCTTGTGCTCTGAGAAGGTTGCAAGTACCAGGTTCAATCCCCACAGCCTCCATTCTGGGTCCCTGACCAAGACCTTTAACCCCACACTGCTCCCCTGGCACCACAGAATGACAGCCCACTGCTCCAAAAGGAGATGGGTTAAATGAAGAGAGTGAATTTACCCATTGTGGGACAATAAAGGGATTTACACACACATCTTGTAGATATGGAATTGCCGCCTGTTGCTAAAATAAATGATAAAGCTGCAGAGAGAGATGTAGTCTAGAGGGGAGAATCTGTTGAAATGATTTTGAACTGGTGTCATGTTATTCCACCAAAAACCAGAAGGTTCCTGGGAGCACATTGGAGTTTTCGCTAAGGACCCACAATAGCTTGTTTTTTTTTTCAGTGTAAACTGATGAGAGAGTGAAAGTGGTCAGAGTCTGATTCTTTAGCTGAACCAAAAATCTACTGCAAGACATGGAACTTATCACATCACTAGTATGCTTGAGCTATTTTGCAAAGAAGAATGAGAAGAAAGGGGAAAGTCTCCATTGTAACAAGCTGATAGAGACATTCAGAGCTGCTACATTAAATACGTAGCAGCTCTAATCATAACAAAAAGTAGTTCTACAGATAGTTCTACAGCTTTGGTCACTCAAGACTTTCTTCATCATCAAATCAAAATTTGTGTCAGAATACCGGTATTATAACTTCACCCAATAAAAACGCAAAACTGTTGCCATTTTTTTTCTTCCAAGAAGCCAGACTCAGAGTGAGTCACATTTGTCATTACCTTTGACTTTGTTTCCTTTTCTGTACCATAGAAAGTAGTCCTGACCTTGTGCTTTTGTATTCCTTTATGTCTGCTTCCTGTTCTTACAGCAGGCCAGGGCAGATGGTCACCCGCCCATCCTGAGTCGGGATCTGCTGGGGGTCTCTGTTAGACCAGGGGTATACTCTGCTCTTGAAGGAGACTCCTCTGTTACTCACTGGTTTGTGTTAGTTTATAATAGGTTGTTGAATTAAAGCATATATCAAGGCTTTTAAGTTTAAAATCTGATTCCGATGAAAAATAAAGTTAATTTGACTTACTGTATTAATTTCCTTCTTACCTTCCCATTATTGCATATTGTATTTGGTGTTAATTATCATTACAACTAATAGACCTTCCTGAAATTAAACTGAAATAAATTGGGTAGTGGTTTTTTCAGGTTGTCATCATATAAATACTTATGTGTTGGGCTACTTTTAGCTGAAGCGCAGACATCATTTGTTTGTTTTCTCCAGTAAGATTATTTGTTAAAGATTTTAGATTACATTTTCCTTTAGATTATGCAAACTAGATCCAACCATACAAACTTAATGGGCTACTATAATCTTTTGGCTTAATTGCTCATAATGAAAATGAACTTTTAGTGCATGAAAACTGGATTTAGAGGCAATTAATCAATACAAAAACAATCAATGTTAATCCTATGGTGTGATCTCTGAGTGTTTCTGTACACATTCCAACATGGACATAGGGTCAAATTCCATGCTACATTTTTCCTATGTGTGCTCAGTTGTGTCTCTCTGCAGTCCGGGATCAACAGAGACAGAAAGCCACTGACGCAAGTAAGTATGCATTTCATTTGCATTTATTTTGCTATTAGAATATCACAATACTCTATTGTCGACCAGGTTGGAGTTTAGTAGATTATTACGCAGCACTAAAGGAAGCAGATGTTTAAACATGTTGCTTTGTGTTTTAAACTGAGCATGGAAAAGTTCCCTTTACACACAGCAGGGCGATGAGTTAAGATCTAAACAGACCTTGTGAGACTTGTGTCAGCAATTACCCATGTGATATTACGCCTTCTCGTCCCACCTTCTTGTGCAATGCAGTGTTCTTGCAGTTACTGCTTTGAAAACAGGAATACAACTTGAAGTCAGTTTCCAAACTTGAAAAATGTGTCTTCATTTTAAAATCAGAGCGAGATGAGCATACTTCTTTCTGATTTTACATTACACAACCAAATATTGCTTTATATTTCCACGAAGATTTTAAAATATTACAAAATACCTTATTTATGTGAAGGTCTGAAGCATGTTTGGGACAAAACCAGTGGCGGTCCATTCGATCCCACCTTACACCCTGATCCGTCTTGCACAAGAGTGGCTGGCAGAAGACACCCCAAACTTTGACCCGGCAGGAGTTTGCGTTGGATCAGAGGATGTGGAGGCTAAGTTGTTGTGTAAAACTCCACACACTGTGCTGGCAGGGAGCCCTTTCTTCACAGCGGTGTTTACTGAGGTGGGCTGCACCGTGGACTGGATTTACCAGGAAGGAGAACAGATTGGTAAGCATCCTAATCTTAAATACCTGCTCATACTTCTCTTTGCTGATGTCCTTCAGTCCAGCCTTATTTCTCCCAATAATGTCCTAAACATTATACATAGATATCAAACATCACAAGACTCAGATCAAATAAAAAAAG